CTACTACTACTAGCAGTAGTAGTAGTCGTCGTCGTCGTCGTCGTAGTAGTCGTACTATGATTTGTCACCGACTTGCGAACATGTACACCCTGGCTGCTTGTTAGGTTCTTTCCATCTTTGTCTCACTCGCAGCTTGACTGCTTAAGACCCACTTTGCGTGAGGTCCCAGCAAAAGGCCCGCTAGCCCGTGTTTCCTCTTAGCTGCGCAGTTAACTCTACGGAATTAAGGTCTGATCCGATCTCTGCCTTGCATTGCTTTGCTTTTGCTTTGCTTGCTGGGCATTCGATTGGAAGCGCCCTGCTTTGTGACCGAGAGTTAAGTGGCTTCCTCTGCTTTTCACAGGTTATCAGCCGTAGGACCTCGTGCTTCCGATTGTGTATCCCTGCTTGCTGCTGCCGCCCCTTGCATTCGGGTCGTCTACCCGACAAGCTTCTGAAACACAAGCAGTCCATATCCTGACTCCACTTCCCCCGTTCGTTCTTGCGCTAAGTAGCTCCACCGAGAGACGATGACACCGATTTGGTATCCACGTGTTCCTTCGACCGTCGGTTCTTCACTAGTGATGCCGGTCGTTTGAAACAACGCGAAGCCCGATGATAGTGCTCTCGCAGCTCGCCTCGCCTTGCATGCCATGCCTGCCAGCCTTGCTGCTGCCGCGCCTTTGCATGCCGACAGTGTAGTATGTAGTGAGCCTGACAGAAGACATGCTTACCTTCAGCTGTATTCCTAGAATCTCATATTCTGATATGTTATTTTGTTTCGTTCACACCTGGGTGTCATCCGTTAGCTTAATTTGTCTAGACTCCGCGCGTTTTTCACGATTGGCAGAACATAGTCGCAAATGTGTATCTGATGGGATCGATGGTGACGCTGCCTTTAGCAGCATGAACCGTGCCGAAAGGCGTCTTGAACGAAATGTTGGCGCTGCAATGGTCGTGTTGTCGGCAGGAGCTTGCGGTCAACGATGTCTTCTTTGGTACAATACTGACGGACACGAGTTGGTCGCGAGCTGTGCAGTGGTTGGAGGACTGCTGGAAATGTCGGATACCGCCGGTTTGTGTAGCCGGAGTGTGCAGCGGTTCAGAAGCATCGTGCGGTCCGTACTGCGGCAGCACGGCCGCCATTGGACCATACTTGTAGCAAAGCGGTAAAACCACCACTTTGACCCAAGCCGAGAGATTGAACCAGTGCGGATACCGTGCCTGCCAGGACATGCACATGTCGACGGTGCGAGCGAGCAGCACGGATCTCAAAGAAGCCGGGCTGTCTCGGTCCCACAGAGGTCCACAGTGCTTTAGGGAGCTAGCTGCAAGACACGCAACTGACCTGCGAAGACAAGGCCTGCTTTTGGCGATTGCTTCTAGCACGGTTCCCTGGGAGCAGGCAGTATTGAAGCCATTTCAGCCACATGAGTAGACAGCATGGGAAGAAGTTCAACCACTGGGCTTCAGCCAGTGGCTGAAACTGGGCTGACAGGCGCTGGAAGCCAGAAGCTTGGTGACGATTCGGAGGCCACCACTTTGAAAATCAGCTGCTTCGTTTTTGTCACTGTAGGCTTTGCTTCCCGCATCAGCTCACGCACAGCTTGCCGTGAACAATGTCATCGGTGCGGGCCGCAGCAAGTTTGTGTCATCCGGAACGGGTTCGGCGATCGTGCTCAGCTGATTGAATAAGTCAGGTGGTTGTGGGAAGACTGCATGTTGGCAGGCCCACAGTATAAACATTAACGGCGCAAGGAAATTTGGAGCCACTGATTTCCTTCGAACGTTGCTCCTGGCCAGGCTGCCATGGCACTCGTCCATCGGTTCACGACACAGGAGCACAGTACTGCAGCTTGGTCTTAGGTACTAGTAGGGCAAAGTCTGATTGAATCGCCGCTTGTTCGTGAGAGAGAGAGAGACCTCATTTTGCTTTCGGATGTTGTCTTGAGTTAATCGTGTTCGTCGGCCGCCTATCTTGTTTCTGCGAAAGCTTCAAATCTTTCCGCAATGCAACACCGATGTTTGACACATGTCGGACCAACTTCGAGTCTGTCTCGTAGTCGATGAAGCGAGTGAGTGGATTTTTGTCTAAATTGGCTGGAGATGGCTGGAGACTTCGCTTGTTGGCATTTCCGCCAGTTTGGCTTCGCCTCTCTCCCTTAGATAGTTTGCGGTTGCTGCTGCTGTGCGCAGTGTCGCTCTTTGTGCCTTTTTGCCTATCGAGTTGTTTTTTCACTTCGGTCGACTGCCAGGCTTCATTGGTATCTGGGCACAGCTCCAAGTTCCAAGCTTGTGCTCAACCTCGTGTCACTGGCGTTCTATTATTCCACATCACGAAGCATTTCTTCTGACTGACACAATGTCTTGTCCGCCTACGCCTTCCATGAACCCAGCACAAAGACAGAAGGAGCAGGCGAACACTGTCTCGCCGACATGTGGCATGTTGAGATACATCAGGTGTAATCTATCGGAGCATGGCATACTGTGCTTATCCCGAATGCCGAATGGGACGCGGTGCCAGGTTGAACTGCCGTTCAACTCTTGCCAGCTGACTGAAACAGACTACCGTACCCTCAGTATCACTCAATCGTCTTCGACCACGGACTAGCATTCGCGGCCGAATCATGGTATGTCTGCAAAGCACGGCATGCCAGAAACGAGCAGTTGTCAACACTCTGCCGGAAGACGCGTCCCACACGTCCAAGCAGAAGCCCCACGCATCCCGCTGCAAAGGCGAAGCCTCATGAGATCTAGAATCCAGACATGGGTTCTGCTCGTTTGGAGGATGCAACTGCACGAGTGACTGCCGTCGGCTTCACTGCAGCTGCCGGAGCTTGCGAGCGAGGGCGGCAAAGAAGGCAAGCCGTCATGCTCCTGAAAGAGTTGCTCGGCGAAGTCTGCACACGCGTCGCCGGTAAAGGCTAGTGGCATACTAGATGCGATTGCACACTCTTCGGCCCAGGCTTCGCAGAAGACGACTTCAAGGCGACAGAACTTCACAAGGTTCGAGAAGCATGTTATGTTGAAAGGTCGAGAGAAGGGCGGAGAGCCTGGTGCCTCAGGGGCTGCTATCGCTTTTGCCTCACAGTCCTGGAGAAGAGCACTTTGGCAGCTGGCCGTCGCCAGCACAGAGGATGCTTCTGCTCGGGGTGATTGGGTCATGCAAGGATCGGCGATGGCCGCATGCGGGGAGCGTGGAAAATGGATTCTGGTAATGAGCTTGCTCGATGCGCACATGCCCATCGAACCTGTCAATGTGGCACTCGAAGCTTGCAAGACCAAGTCGCTATGGACGGTGGCACTCAGACTGCTGGGCGTGGCGCTCGAAAGAGAGCTGAAATTGGACGTGCTGACAGCGTCAAGCACACTGTCTGCTTGTGCGCAGTGTTGGCAAGAGAATCATTTGTGGCGCTCGACGCTCCAGCTGCTAGACATGATGGTCTTGCGACAAGTACGACCCAACTTGCTGTGTTGGCTGGAAGCAATGCCAAAAGAGCAAGCATGTCCCATGTCGCCAAATCTGCTGCATAAGCTGCAAGCTGTAGCTATCGCATCGTTCGAAAGGTCTGCCGTGAGGCGGGCAGCATGAGTCATTGTGCATCAGCAGGCAGTAGGGCTTCCAGCAGAGTTCTCTGTGCTTCCCGGCTTTGGACTCAAAGTACGAGGCACGGCATCAGACATTTTTTCGGCATCGTGTAGCTTGGCATACTGGTTTCAAAAAGCCTGCGTTACCCACTGTCTGCTGCACGCTAGGAAACTTTAGGGTCAGCGAGAGTGTCAGCGAGTGCCGATGACATGAAACCAGCTCACTGCTATTTATGCCCAAACATGCTGCAGGATCTGCACTAGCCATGTCAAGAGCTCCAAGTGCAGATGGACGCCAAGACCGCCGACGCAGCTCCTCTTGCATCAGAAGCGCTCTGCCAAGCAGGCGATCAAGTTCTGCGCTGGAGGAGTATCCCCAACAGGCTGTAACACGTGCCATTTATCACCATGCAAGGGCTTACCTTGCCATTGCTTCGATCGCAGCAGGGTCTGCTAAGCCGACACCCCGAGAGAAATGCCGTCGTGCAGCCTGTGCCATTCGTCAAGCTGCACGCGCAGTAATACTGGAAAGCACAGTCGTCCAGATCGTTTTGCGCTGCGTCGAGCAGACGAAGCAGCGACAAGCTAGAGAAGCCGATGAAATGTGGCGTAAGCTTGCAGGTGATGTGCGGTTCTTGTTTGGTGGACAGAAGGATATCGACTCTGTGACAAAGATTGCTGGAACCCTGGCTGAAATGTTGTCAGGCTTCGATGGAGGCGATGATGTTCGGAATAGGTTCTTGAACGTCGCGAAAAGCTTCGACAACTCGGAAGTAGCTTTGAAACAGCTGCAGGCATCCTTCGGCAATAATTTACAAGGGCTTCATGCCATGCGGAACGACTTCGATCGCTTCACAGCGGAGATCATTCGGCTTGTAAGTCTCCTTGAAGGAGACTGCAACAGCATGCGTGTTCAGTTGCAGAAAACCTTGAAAAGCCCTCGCCAGCGGGTAAACAGAAATTTGTTGGGAGGTCTTGAGAATCTGGGGAAGGGGCGAATGATGCCTGACGGCGCAAACATTGGGGATGCATCGCAAGATCACATCACCACATTATTATCTACCTTGGAGCATGATTTGTGCGATACCCCGCTGGCAGCAATGGTACAGGTTGCCCAGGATGTCAATGATCAAATCGTGAAGCAGTTGAGCGACAGTGGTAAACTGCAAGGCCAGGATTACGCTTTGAACGAGGTGAGCTTGGTTCCCGTGGACGAGCCCACCTCTCCCACCAGGGTTGTGACCGACTTGTTGCAAGCGTTGCGACCGTGCGTCTTTGAGGCAGTGGATGGAGTGGGCGCCGAGGCGGTGGGTGCCGACGCAACGGGTAGCAGAAGCAAGATCATCCGCCCACGCAAAGCTTCAAAAGGCGTAGAGCAGCAACCCCTCAAACCTGAACGGGTCGTGGTCTCTCCGTCCAGCCCTGTGCGCCCTCCGGTGGATGTCCTGTATGCTCGAGCCCAACTCGCTCGAGATTCAGCCGGCCTGCATGCGACGGCGGCGACGACGGCACAGGGCAGCTCTGGAGTTCCGGAATCGAAGTCCTTTGGGCCCCTCAGCTTGCTCTCGTCTGAGGCCGCTCCCATGCCAGAACAGCGGGGACAGCGCTTGCCGAAGCTGAAACCACTGCCTCACACAGCCGATTTCGAGCAGGGTCCAACAAGGTCGCTGTCCAATCGGTCGGTTAAGTCTTCGAAAGAAAGCTTGCGGGAGCACGAGGCAACAAGCATGGTGCTCCCGGTACCTGGCTTCGTGGAACATTCAGAACACACCGACTATGCTTCGCCTTCCGCTGGAACGACTGCGGTTGCAAACCGAGGTGATGGAGGTTCCCAGCAGAGCACTGGCCAAACAGCTGATCCTAGAACACACACTGTGCCAGGCCCAGGTGGTGTCCAGAGTTCTGGCCCACAGAAACCACACATTGAGCTCGAGACTCGTGAGAGTCACAAGGACACGGCCGGAGCCCCGGCGAGTGGATCTCGGTGGCCATCTGGGGAGAACTGTCGACCTCCTTCTGATGGCGACATCACGGCTGGACCCAGAGCACCACGATGCAGAACTCCAGACGACCTGTCCTGCGAGTATTTATGTGCAAGCACAAGCCACGAAAATCAGAAGCTGTCACCCACGTGCCGCAGTCAGTCACAGCCAAATCTACAGGCCACATCCCGCTCCTCGGAGGACGGAGACCGAAATCCAGAGCCAACAAGGCTGCCTGGTCTTCCTGATCTGAGGCGTGACCATCTTCCTGCACGTGCTGTGCAGGCTGCTGCGGGTGCATCCTCGCACGAAGCCAGTGAGGGCACCGAGACCTACGCAGCAAACAGGGAAGCAGCGACGGCGAGCAAAGAAAGTAGAGCAAGTACGGGCATGGACAGCAAGGGCAAAGATGGCCAGGATGGTCGCAGATCTGCATCGCTGCCTCTCGACTCCGGACCCCGCAGGTTTCGCCACTCCGGGCACTCTGGGTTTCCTGGAAGGGCGCAAGAACCGGCGGAGTTCTCGCGCTTTATGGCTTCCGAGCAGACAGGCCCGACGTGAGACATGAGGGCCTGAGGGCTCGTGTGCTAGTACGCAGGGATTGAGATTTTTGAGCGTTAGAACTGTTCGGGATCAGACTTTCGGACATGAGTTCGGGTATAGCCACTGTTTTCGTGGTTCCATGGGGTTAGCAGAAGGACCGTACAGATTGATTGTCGTGCGCGGTTGTAAAGTGGTGGGGCTGAAGCTTTTCAATGATTGAGGTGCGGGGGCTTGTATAGCTACGAGAAGCAAAACAGGCTTCATGGCCAGGTGCCTTCGACAGTTAAGATTCCAGGATGCTGTCGGGATGAAGGAATCTGACTTTCGGAAGAGACGCACGGCCCGGACCTTCCGAGGTCATACCAAAAGAATGGCTGTAGATTGTAGATTGTAGGGGTGGAACTGTTATCTTTGCGGGAAAAAGGTTTGCAATGCCTTTGTTTGTGAGGTTTGGGAGTATGTAGCAGCCGATATTGTGGTGGTTAGCAGCCGCTTTGAAGCCCCAACGTTGTTGTATTTAACGAGCACTTGAGAAGTTTTTTAACCGGCATCTATGGGTGAAAAGGATTGTACTGGCTTTCATTAGCGGGTTGGGACTCTCTTGCCCTGTAGACCCTCCCCCCCTCAGGTCTTCGGTTTTGATGCTGGGGTGAAGCTGGCAAAGAAAAATCTCATTGCATTCGCCAGACAGCCACAGTCAGGCAGCCACATTAAAATAGCCGTTCTGTTTTTTTTTAACAAGCCTGGCGCCAATTCTCCTTCGGGCCCGTGTCACGCCGAGACATTGACGCGGGATTTTCTTCTGGATCGCCGTGCCAATAAGAATCCGCGAAGTACAGCCTCGCAACGGTCGCATTCAAGCAAGGACCCAGGAAATAAGCCGCCGCCGACCCTCCGCACCCCTACCCTGCTCTCAAGTTACCACCAGGTGCTGAGAGGCGCGCATAGCTGCAGCTGCTGCTGCTGCTGCTGCTACTACTACTACTACTGCTACTACTACTTCTACTTATTCTGCTTATGCTACTACTTACATTACTGAGACCACTTATTTATACTACTTACACTACTTATACTACTTACTAGTTACTACTGGTGCTACTAGTACTACTAGTACTACTACTACTACTACCACCACCACCACCACTACTACCACTAGGTCACGCCACCGTAACGGATCCCAGGTTGTTTGGGGGTTTGGACCTCGAAAACGCCGCTCCCACCGACAAAGTTGGACTTGGCGGGGGTGGGTGGGGGGGGGG